TCATAGGTGGGAACTGAACAATGAGATCACTTGGACACAGGAAGAGGAACATCACACACCTGGGCCTATTGTGGGGAGGGGGCGGGGGAGGGATAGCATTAGGAGATATACCTAATGTAAATGACGAGTTAATGGGTACAGCACACCAACATGGCACATGTATACATATGTAACAAACCTGCACATTGTGCACATGTACCCTAGAACTTAAAGCATAATAAAAAAAATTTTTTAAAGAAGAAAAAAAAGAAAAAAACTACTTCAAATTCTTCACATTTAAGCAAACTTCTGAGAATTGTCTAAACTTCTTATTCATTTAGCACAAAACATCCCCTGCAACTTAGTATAGCATCACACATACCTGAGGCGATGACTGGATCTTTCATAAGTTCTCTAGTTATTGGACATACAAATTCATCAGGGATCCCTGAAGAAAGGGATTTAACCTTGGTCCTGAGCTCTTCAATTTTCCTCAGCACTTTACTACGCAGTCCTAGAGATTCTGTAAAGAAATTACTGTTAGGGCTGGAAAACTACTAGTAATCCTTATGCTAGTCATTCACAAATAGTTTGTTGTTGGGGTTTTTGATTTTGAGACAGGGGCTCACTCTTTTGCCCAGGCTAGAATGCAGTGCATAATGATCACTACTCATTGCAGCCTCAACCTCCTGGGCTCAAGTGATACTCCCACCTCAGCCTCCTGAGTAGCTGGGACTACAGGCACACGCCACCATGCCCGATTAATTTATGTATTTTTTATAAAGATAAGGTTTCACTATATTGCCCACGCTGGTCTCGAATTCCTAGGTTCAAGTGATCCTTCCGCCTCATCCTCTCAAAGTGCTGGGATTACAGGTGTGAGCCACCACAGCCAACCACAAATGGAGATTTTATCTACTACCACCAGAAATCTTCTGACATACTGTTTTACCACATGAACTAGTGTTTTCTTTATACATTCCTTAACAAATCTCTGTTGTATAGAATACTGTTGGTTAAAATATATCAGCAGTTAATAGCTAATTTTAAATAAATTTAGATTCTGAAAGTTCAAGAATTTCAGGTTGCCAGACACTAATATACTCTACAAAATCAGAAAAGGCTCATTACTCGTTACTTACACAACAGAAAATTTCCTAAAAATCATTTTTAAATAGGTTTGAGTTCAAAACATAAAAATGCCAAGTTATATTTTTAAACTTAATGAAATTGGATATATTTGCTGATTCTTATAAGAAGCACAATCACAAATGAAGCTCATCTGTTTGTCCAAACCATATGCATGTTTCACTTGTTTTTATTCTTAACTTAAAAAAAATTTTAGTTTTAGAAAGTCTAATGTAATTTTAGGAATTTTAGAATTATTGGCTGTTTACACTTTTAGAACTAGTTAACAGTTCTACTTTAGGTTGAAGTAGGTAGAAGAATTAAGATTTCAGAATGCCTCACATAGTTACGAGAAAAAACCAAACCAACTTACTTTCTGTCAGGAGGTAATGCTCCACGAGGTTTATACAGGTCTTAGGACACCCTCTGTTTCACATGGTCTTTTCGAGGATGTCTGAAAACATCCTTGGAAACTGGAGATAGTGCGTCCCTCCCTGTGGGAGGGCAGATGTTTCCTGACCACTATAATGTCTTGCCTCCTGGGGGCTATTTTGCTGGTAACCCCCTTATAAGACTGGGGGTTTCCCAAGCTCAGGGCTCCTCAGCTGTGACACAAACATAAACCACCACCATGAAACTTAAGAGGGAAAGGGGAGGCTGGGCACAGTGGCTCATGCCTGTAATCCCAGCACTTTGGGAGGATGAGACAGGTGGATCACTTCAGGTCAGGAGTTCAAGACCACCCTGGCCAACATGGCAAAACCCCATCTCTACTAAAAATACAAAAAAAAAAGTAGCTGGATGTGGTGGCACATGCCTGTAATCCCAGCTACTTGGGAGGCTGAGGCAGAAGAATCACTTGAAACCAGGAGGCAGAGGTTGCAGTGAGCTGAGATTGCACCACGCACTCCAGCCTGGGTGACACAGTGAGACTGCCTCAAAAAGAAAAAAAAAAAAGAGGGGAAGGGGAAACAATCAGAACCTGAAGTGCGAGTGTCTGCTGTGTCACGAGTAATAAACCGTTTGAGTCAGTCTGGGCTCACTGCCCACATTCATGTGAATGTGGCAAGTTATCCTAGCAGCTCCCTGGCGCCGAGGGTCTGCTTTCCTGTGACTTCCTTCCAATGGGACATGCTGAAACCGAACTGAGGATTTTTAAAACAAGTTTTTTAAAGCGCCACGAACAAATCAATGATTTCCTTACATGTTGAATATGACTGTGCAAAAATATTTATGACTCAAAAAGATTCCCTCAAATTCTTTATGAAATCACCATCCATATTCAAGAGAAAACTATTTCAACACACAAGTACTTAAAAGTGCTTAGTTAGGGAAGTACCTCTAAAACGCAGCACAGTGTTATCTGATCGCCACAGCCAGCCTTTAATGTAACAAATCAGAGATATCGAGTCCACCTCTTCCCAGAATGTCCCGTTTCACAATGTGTGTTTTCCAAGGGTTAGCTGGCTGTGTTTTTACTTCGCCAGGCAAATACAATGGAAGGCTTAAGAGGAGTTATAAGGATGGATCATGTATTCAAAGCTAAGTAAGGTGGAAAATAAGAGTAGAGATAGATAACAGGTACACAAGATTAACAGAATAAAGGTTAGGATAAGATCAAGATTTGCTGAAGTGGGGTATTGGATGAGATGGTAGAAAATCTATCATGACTGGGTTATGCTTCCTGAAAATCTTCCACCTGGGTAGAGACATGGCTTCAAAAACTGTCATAAATGTTTCTAGAACATGTTTGCAAGAAGACAGTAGACATCTTGTTTACAGAGATAATTATATAACTTATAATAAGAAAAGGAGGCTGGGTGTAGTGGCTCATGCCTATAATCTCAGCACTTGAGGCACCAAGGTGGGAGCACTGCTTAAGACCAGGAGTTTGAGACCAGTATGGGCAACACAGCAAGACTCTTTCTCTACAAAAAATGTTTAAAAGTTAGCTGGGCGTGGTGGTGCATACCTGTAGTCCCAGCTCTTCAGGAGGCTGAGGCAGGAGGAGCTACAGAACCCAGAAGGTAGAGGCTACAGTGAGCCATGTTCATGCCACTGCACTCCAGCCTGGGCAAGACAGTGAACTGTCTCTAAAAAAATTAAGAAAAAGAAAAAAATATAGGAGCAACTAATGTTCTTTAAAAAATATATTTTCCTGTCAAAAATATTCTACATGTGTGCTAATACTTAGAATGCTTATAATATTTACAACAGAGAACACAGAAGGCCTAATTCAAAATTCCCCAGATAAGGTTAAACTGGGTGTTATCCTTGTCCAATCCTAATGTCATTTAGAAATGAAGTCAGATCACCTTGCCCTCAGGGATGCTTTTAGTTAAACCACATCCCCAGAGCTCTACCAGAAACAAACATCTCCTTTTGTGATTGGGGGTTCAGAATAAGTCTTATACACTCATACAATTGCTGAGAAAGAAAGGACCCTTACCAGCTAAGCTAGTAAACCCTTGGTACCAGTACTGGGCAACATCCGGCTATTACTGACTATAATCCTGAAAAGACATTTTCATGACAAGTTAAAACCACCCAACTCTGGAAATGCTACATCACTGAGAGTCTGATGGAATCCAGAAACTAATAACCATCAAATATACAAGACTAAACTAACGGATATAAAACTCAACCCTGAAAACCTCTGACGAAACAGAAGGTAACTGGGTTCTGGAGTGAGAGCTGGGAAGTGACAGTGTAGAGCAGAGATGTAGGTGCATGAATGAGACAGAGACCTTCCTACATGTGCCCTTTACTCTCCCAACTTTGTCCTGTAAGTACCAATGCCACAGCAGCCCCAGCTGGAGGCCAGTTACCAGGACAGCACGAGCGCCTGGAATTGAACAAGCACAGGCCACCAAGCTGGTTACTGACTCACCTCTCCCCTACCCTGACAGAGAACAACAGAACCAAACGCTGGTTTCTTACAAAGAAAACTAAAAATCTGCTTTTAAAAATTATATTTTTTAATTTAAAAATCAAATTTCTACATAGAATGATCAAGAGAAGACACGAAACCTATATTAAGAATGGAAAATACAGCCTAGGTACAGGGGGAATTTTTAAGAGGATATTAAGAACAGGATAGAAGCAGTATAGTTTTTTAATTTCTCTGAAAAAAACAGAGCAACTAGATAAACTCAAATTGCATGGACATTTACAACAAAACAAGGCAGCGAGACATCTTCATGAACCCTACAATATGCCTGAGTGAGGACAAACCATTAACACCCATAAAGACCTGTGGTTGGCATCTGTGTAGAAGAAAGCAACAGGACATCTGATGGGCCTGAGCAAATGAGACCCCAGCGTGTCCAGCAAGTAAGCACTGGAAAGGAGAGTGAGCCAACTTCAGACAGCAGCTGACCACGGAGGGTTATGCCCTTCCAACAGGGGGTCAGTGCACAGTAACTAGATTTGAACAGCCTATTTCACTTTAATCACATATAAACAAACAAACAAAAACTGTAAATGTTCAATTACTTAACAATAAATGCAGTTACCTAGGCAACAAGTGAAATCTACATAACGAATAAATAAGAACTGAAACATGAAACTTTCAAAATCCGAGGATATAAAGACAGGTGATGTACTTAAATTTCTAAATTTTAAATTAGAAAATGATAAAAATGTCTTATGTGCTTTTATGATTTCTTGGAAAGAAGAGTAAACAGAGAGTGAACCCTTTGAAAAAAATCTCATTCCCAATTAGGCATCTATGGTTGATGATTATCTGAATATAATCATAAATACCAACATGATATACAATAGTTCCTTGGCATTTGTCATTTTAAGTTTCTATCATTTTATCTTCTATACAGCAATTCCAAACTCCAAGATACGTAGCAATCTGCCATATTCCCAAAGCCTAGATATAAACTGAGGCCAATGAGTAGCTAGATGGAAGCTGTGTGGCTAGTAGTAGACTCACTCGTTGTGTAATATCACATCTCAAAGTGACTTTCCTACTCTTAACCTTTCACACTTTATGCCTTTTGAATGAGATATTAAATGTTATAGTAGTCACAAATTCATAGAAAATGTCTTAAGATATATCCCTCTCAACATCAAGGATCTCTTGAACCTGTACTCTGTCTGGACATTCCTTATACAAACCGTTCTAGATATAAGGAATTATTTCCTAACTAAAGCTGTATGTCTGTTGTACCCTAGGCTTCCATTAACACAATCCTAGAAAATGACTATTATCCTTGGGTAAAGCTCCAAAGTCAAACATATTCAAGTCTGCAGAAATTTCATTTATTGTGTATTTACAAAAGACCCATTGAAAATAGATTTGATAAACTGCTCAATTCCTTAAAAATAATTTAAATGTCAAACATAATAGATATACGACATTGGTCTCAAACCCTCCAATGTACTTTACTGCACAGTTAATCAACTTCCTCCATTTGCTGAATGTTAAACGCAGATTTATTCACATTGACATAGCAGCTGTTTTAAACAGTTCAAGGCAAATGCAGGTAAAATAGATATGCATTAAAACAAAATTCAGTAGCATATATACTTGTTGGTTCACCTCAACACATTTGCTTCTAGACCAAATTTAATTCTCTATTCGTGCAATTTACTATTTTGAGGGTCTATTTTTCTTAAAATTCAGGACTAAAAGAAATTCATTATAGCTTACAATACCATTTATAGATTAGTTAGCTGCTTGATTCTTTATAATGAAGGTTGCAAAAACCTTAAAATACATTAGAATGATATCAAAAATAAATGTTATAGTCTATTTTTACTACTTTATTCTATGTCTACTTTGTTGAGCTTGCTAGATCTCCAAATCTTAAACACAAGCTTAAGAGTCCTTATTGACTAGAAAATGTGCAACATTTTTGTCTCCATTCTTAATGGCTTTTCAAATTCACCTATTAGACCATCACAGAACTTGTTTAAATTGTATTTTAATTTTGGCTTGGGCCTGACACTTCCAAAACCCATTTCACTGAACTGTGAAGTAAAATGATTACTACGGTTAAACCTGAGACTCATCCTTCAAAAACTAATTGAATCATTAATTGATCATTAACTGAATCCTACAAGAATGTCTTATTCTTGGCCAGGCGCAGCAGCTCATGCCTGTAATCCTAGCACGTTGGGAGGCTGAGCCAAGAGGGTCACTTGAGGTCAGGAGTTTGTGACCAGCCTGGGCAAAGTAGTGAGACCTCATCTCTACAAATAATTTTAAAAATCAGCTGGGCACGGTAGTACATGCCTGTGGTTCCAGCTACTCACGAGGCCGAGGCAGGAGGATCACTTGAGCCTAGGAGGTTGAAGCTGCAGTAAGGTGTGATCATGCCAGAGGACTCCAGCCTGGGCAATAGAGGGAGACCCTGTCTCAAACAAACAAAAACCTAGAATGCCTTATTCTTTATTTAGCTAGTTATAAAAACAGAATTGTATTTCTATTGTTTTTATATGCTTTTCTTATGTTTCCAAACATCCTTTGTTGAATCTGAAATTATTTCATATCGTCAAGTACTTCCACTTGATAAGGTACCCTTAAGATTCATTGTGAGAGATTAACAAGAAATTAAGATGCTAAACTCACGAGATTTTTTTTAAAAAATAAAGCTCCTACTCTATTACCTACTCTCAGAAAAAAAGAGGAAGTTAGAAAGGAAATATTTTATCAGAGAGAGATGCTGGGTGCAGTGGCTCATGCCCATAATCCCAACACTTTGGGAGGCCACGGCTGGAGGACTGCTTGAACCCAGGAGTTTAAGACCAGCCTGGGCAACAGGGAGACCTCATCTCTACAAAAAATTGTAAAAATTAGCTGGGCATGGTAGCATGTGCCTGTGGTCCATTACTTGGGAGGCTGAGACGGGAAGACCACTTGAGCCTGGGAGGTCAAGGCTGTAGTGAGCTGTGATGCACCACTGCACTCCAGCCTGGGCAGCGGAGGGACACCCTCCTATCCCTTCCCCCACCCCCCTCCCCGACACACAAAAAGAGATAGAAAAGTGACTGTAACTCGGCCAGGCGCGGTGACTGTACCCAGCCAGGCGCGGTGGCTCACACCTGTAATTCCAGCACTTCGGGAGGCTGAGGCGGGCAGATCACGAGGTCAGGAGATCGAGACCATCCTAACTAATATGGTGAAACACCATCTCTACTAAAAATACAAAAAATTAGCCGGGCGTGGTGGCGGGCGCCTTTAGTCCCAGCTACTCGGGAGGCTGAGGCAGGAGAATGGCGTGAACCCAGGAGGCTGAGCTTGCAGTGAGCCAAGATCGCGCCACTGCACTCCAGCCTGGGCAACAGAGCTAGACTCCGTCTCAAAAAAATAAATAAATAAAAATTAAAAAAAAAAAAACCAACTTGTTTTTGGTAAAAATCAAGTACCCAGAATATATAAACAACTCTTACAAAGTCAACAACAAAAAGACAACCCCGTTTAAAAATGGGCAATGGATCTGAACAGACATTTCTCCAAAGAAGATATATAAATGGCCAATAAGCACTTGAAAGATGCATGTCATTAGGTAAAAGAAAATCAAAACCACAATGAAACTCCACTTCACAACTGCTAGGATGGCCATAATCAAGAAGATGGGTCATTAGTGTAGTGCCAGAACATTAAGAAGAAACCATTAATGCAACAAAATCCAACTGCAGAGTAATTTGGTAAAAGTTGTTTTGAAGATTGCCTATCTTTCACTAAGCTTACCAATTTTCAAATCATCAGCCAGACTTTCTTTCGTAAGACTCAACAGTTCTTTTCCATCAATGTTATTCATCTTGAAAATACCAACGAGATCTTTTAAATCTTGTGCACAAAGCCATGTTGAGACATCCTCCTCTGACCAATCTTCAGTAAATTGCTTCAGCTGATCTTCTGTGCTCCTTGCTTAAAATAAACAGGTAAGTGAGATAACAAAAAAGTATTTCCTTTATAAACAATCTCACTTTGAATTAAAAATAAACAAAATTTCCTTAAATCTGTGTTTTATAGCTGGGTACAGTGGCTCATGCCTATAATCCTAGCTACTCGAGAGGCTGAGGCAGGAAGATCGCTTGAAGTCAGGAGTTCAAGACCAGCCTGAGTAACATAGGGAGGCCCTGTCTCAAAAAAAAAAAAAATTGTTTTACCACTTTAACTTCCTTTTGGAACATTTTCTTTTTCACATCAGGAAAACAATTTTTTATTATATAAAATTCATACTAGCAAAGGTATTCTATTTGCTCCATCATCTCTGTATCAGCACCACTATTTGGTTAATTCTGACAGTGATAAAAATAAAACTCCTAAATTATGTGCCAGCGTTGCTTGATGCCAAAAATAAAACCAACAAAATACAATGATAATTTCTATTTTGTCCTGAGGCTATATTTACCTGAAAAATTAGTATGGAGTATAAACAAATAACTTACAAACCATGGGAGGTGTGGGACACATGAATGTGCACCGAAAGCATTTACCAACAGCTTTCACACAGCCCAGCCACTTCAACACTGGCTTCTCTAATATTATTATTATTTTAGAGATGGGGTCTCACTCCCTTGCCTAGGCTGAAGTACAGTGGCATGTTCTCAGCTCACTGCAGCCTCGTGACCTCCTGGGCTCAGGTGATCCTTCCCACCTCAGCATCCCAAGTAGCTGGGGCCACAGGTGCACACCCCCATGTGTGGCTAATTTTTGTCTTTTTTGTAGAGATGGTGTTTCATCATGTGGCCCAAGCTAATCTCAGACTCCTGGGCTCATGTAATCCACTCGCCTCAGCCTCCCAAAGTGCTGGGATTATAAGTGTGAGCCACCAAGCCAGGCCAAATTATTTTTAAAAGACATTAAATTTGGATGCATACTTTCTATTGAGAAAAGCAATGTGAATAACCTGTCAAATGATTTACTAACTTTTTTTTTCTTTTTTTTTTGAGATGGAGTTTCACTCTTGTCACTCAGGCTGGAGTGCAATGGCACGATCTGAGGTCACTGTAACCTCCGCCTTCCAGGTTCAAGTGATTCTCCTGCTTCAGCCTCCCGAGTAGCTGGGATTACAAGCATGCGCCATCCTGCTGATCTACGTTTCTGTATTTTTAGTAGAGACAGGGTTTCATCATGTTGGCCAGGCTGGTCTCGAATTTCTGACCTCAAGTGATACGCCCACCTTGGCTTCCCAAAATGCTGGGATTGCAGGTGTGAGCCACTGTGCCTGGCCCGATTTACTAACTTTCTGACCCTAATGGTGAGTGGGGTTGAAACGAGTGAAAAATGATGTCCTTACTAACCTTGGCAAAGTGTTTCCAGGTCAAATTGCCAGATGTTCACTGTTTTGTCCATTGAACCAGTAGCAAGTAAAAGGGTATTAGGTGCAAAAGCACAAGTTGTGACATACCTAGTTAATAAAAACAACTATTATGCATGTTCTAATGTTTAAGTTGTATTAATACAAAGTGAGGTTCAGTTCAGACCTGGTGTGCTGAGTCAACGTGTGAAGGATATTCTCAGTGTTCTGAAAAACAACAACAGCAGCTTTACACTCACTCAGGTAAGAGCAAAGTCACTGATGAAGACTCCTTTGACATAAATGGGTTGTATACTAAGTGAATACATTAATATTTATTAGTAACTAACATAAGATGAAACTTTACTCAATGAATAGTAGAAACGGCATCTGTAACAGCATTCTCAGGTACTTACTTTGCTTTTTGTCAATTATCGGCATTATTGTCTGCTAGCCATCTCCTTAGAAATTTTTAATACAGTAGACCCTTGGCATTTGCTCATCTGTTTGAACCTACTAATAGTATCCTAAACATCTATTACCTGAAATAATTCATATTTTTGGCTATGGCATTTGACTTGTACACATTACAGGACCAGTGACTAGAAATTAGTCCCTTGGCCGGGTGCGGTGGCTCATACCTATAATCCTAGCACTTTGGGAGGCCGAGGCGGGTGGGTTACTTGAGCTCAGGAGTTCGAGACCAGTCTGGCCAACACAGTGAAACCCCATCTCTATTAAAAATATAAAATATCAGCTGGCATGGTGGCACGTGCCTGTAGTCCCAGCTACTTGGGAGGCTGAGGCAGGAGAATTGCTTGAACTCAGGAGGCGGAGGTTACAGTGAGCTGAGATCGTGCCATTGCCTACAGCCTGGGCAACGGAGCAAGAGTCTGTCTCAAATAAATAAATAAATAAATAAATAAGTCCCTTAGATTTTGAGTACACTAAGGTGGCCATCCAACATTTTAGGTATATTTAAGTGGGACTCATACATATTTTACAGAGACAATTTAGTGTTATAATTGTTTCTGAGAATGTAAAATCTCACGAAATGTTCATGAGAAATATTAAACATCTACCTCACCTACCTTGAGTATTCTTTTCCATTTCCTGCCGGAACACTCAGTGGCTTGAACCTCTGTGTGGAACACTAGCTTAGATCACTTGCTTAATTTGCTACCCTTTGATTACTAATATCTCCATTTATTTGCTGGCATAGCTACAGCCTAAATCCAATCATTTGGAGGCTCCACTCAACATTTACTTCTCTTGGACAATATTCTTTTCAACTACTTTATTTATTTTTGAGACAGAGTCTCACTCTGTTGCCCAGGCTGGAATGCAATGGCACGATCTCGGTTCACTGCAACCTCCACCTCCGGGGTTCAAGTCATCCTCTCGCCTCAGACTCCCAAGTACTGGGACTACGGGGATGCACCACCACGGCCAGCTAAGTTTTTGTATTTTTGGTAGAGACGAGGTTTCACCATCCTGGCCAGGCTGGTCTTGAACTCCTGAACTCAAGCCATCTGCCTGCCTCGGCCTCCTGACATGCTGGGATTACAGATGTGAGCCACTGCACCTGGCCACAACTTGGTCTTTACTCACACATGGATCAGTCAAAAACTCCCATTTTCCAAGTCCATGATAACCTATTCTTTCTTACACCACTCTCTAAATCCAGCCAGGACTCTAAAAATGGTAGGTCACTTTCAACCATATTCACAAAAAACCCTAGGGTAAACATTCATCCTTTGCTATTATGGAAGCCTGGTGTAAAAGTTTAATAATTGATTGTATGTGATGTTTTGAACACTGGTGCTCTTTAAATATGTATATTTTATGATCACATTTAAAATCTATCCATCTTAAAATCATTACTGAAATATTTAAGGGCTTGTTGCAGAACCGATATCTTACTTGCATAACTATTTTAGCATTTGTGAAAAGATATATGATCTTAGTCATACTAAACAGAAAAAATACATGCTTGTTCTACCATGCCTAACTTGAAGTTCAGTAGTCTAATAAACATAATATTCATAGATCACAAGATTTTTAAATACTTACAGTATCATATACTATGACAGACTTATCCACTGACCTTTAAAAGAAAAGAAATTATAGGTGAAAAGTTCTATAAAAACAAAGTACAGTATTTATGTAATTAGTATTTTTAAGTAACTTTAGTAACTTTTCTAGAAAAGACAGATATTAACATACATTTAGAATGCAATCCTTTTGTTCGTATGTATGAAAACTTTAATTAAAAAAACTACACGTGGCCAGGCGCAGTGGCACATGCTTGTAATCCCAGCACTTTGGGAGGGTGATTCGAGCGGATCATGAGGTCAGGAGTTCGAGACCAGCCTGGCCAACATGGTGAAACCCATCTCTACTAAAAATAGAGAAAAAAATTATCCGGGCATGGTGGCATGCACCTGTAATCCCAGCTCCTTGGTAAGCTGAGGCAAGAGGATGGCTTGAACCTGGGAGGTGGAGGTTGCAATGAGCCAAGATCATGCCATTGCACGCCAGCCTAGGTGGCAAAGTGAGGCTCCATCTCAAAAAAAAACAAAAAATGCCATATATAAAATTCAGAAAATTATAAGCTTTATTAGAACAATGCCACTTTTTTCACTGTTTTGTTTTCCTCAAAAAGCTAATATGCAATAATCTATTGCTTTTAAATGAATTTAAAATATTTAAGAATATTCTCAATTGTATTTTCTAATATTATAAATAAGTGATAGGTGTAACTCATACAAGCAAAGCTCTTTAGGGTAATAACTTTTAAGAGCGTCAAGGAATCTTACTTTTTTTTTTTTTGAGACAGAGTCTTGCTCTGTCACCCAGGCTGGAGTGCAGTGGTGCTATCTTGGCTCATTGCAATCTCCACCTCCTGGGTTCATGCCATTCTCCTGCCTCAGCCTCCCGAACAGCTGGGACTACAGGTGCCCACCACCACACCTGGCTAATTTTTTTGTAATTTTAGTAGAGACGGTGTTAGCCAGGATGGTCTTGATCTCCTGACCTCATGATCTGCCTGCCTCAGCTTCCCAAAGTGCTGGGATTACAGGCGTGAGTCACCACACCCGGCCAAGGAATCTTACTTTTAAGAGTGTCAAGGAATCTTAAGACCAAAAAGTATAAGAACCACTGACCTAAATCATGATTCAATTCTTCACTTCTCTATTCTGACTTATAACTGCATTCTGTTGTCCATTCACTTTTCATCTCTAGTCACTTATATTCATCTCTAGACACTAGTCTTTGCACGTTAGAATTGCTTTAAAAGTTTCAGAAGTTCTCCTAAATTTAACATACAAGGTTTGAATAAGTTCTAACACCATCCTAGGTTCTCAGGGGTTCTTTGTTGTTGTTTTTTGTTTTGAGTCAGGGTTTCACTCTGTTGCCTAGGCTGGAGTGTAGTGGCACGATCATGGCTCACTGCAGCCTCCACTGCCTGGGCTCAAGCGATCCTCTCACCTCAGCCTCCTGAGGAGCTAGCACCACAGGTGCACGCCACCATGCTCGGCTAACTTTTTATTATTTGTAGAGACCAGGTCTTCCTATGTTGCCCAGGCTGGTCTCAAACTCCTGGGTGCAAGTGATCCTCCTGCCTCAGCCTCCCAAAGTGGTGGGATTACAGGCATAAGCCACCATGCCCGGTCCATCCTAGGTTCTCTATTATCTCTACAATCTGTTTTTCCGGCCTCATTTCTCCTTATTTATTTGAATGCTTATCATACATTTTAATCTACTCAAGAATTTCCTGCCTCCTGGAATGTTCTTTCTGTTCCTCAATCTTCCCATATCTGCACAGAAATTCTATACTGCCTTTTCCAAGGCCACCCCAACTATGCCCTACACACCTTTCTTAGTACACCTCTTTTTTCTTTCTTTTTTTTTTTCTTTTAAAGAGACAAGTTCTCACTCTGTTGCCCAGGCTGGAGTGCAGTGGCATGACCATAGGTCACTGCAGCCTCAAACTCCTGGGCTCAGGGGATTCTCCTGCCTCAGCCTCCCAAGTAGCTGAGACTACAGGCACAAACCCCTATGTCCAGCTAATTTCTTTAATTTTTTTTTTGTAGGGACTGGGTCTCACAACACAACTGTGTTGTCCAGACTGGTCTCAAACTCCTGGTCTCAAGTGATCCTTCTGCCTTGACCTCTCAAAGTGTTGGAATAACAGGCATGAGCTACCACAGCAGGCCTTAGTACACATTCTGACCTACAACCGCATTCTGCTGTCTATTCACTTTTCATCTCTAGCCACTTATATTCATATACAGCCACCTTTTATCCTGCTCACTTTTTTTCAGTCTCCCTCTTTCCCATATGTATCCATTCTCTCTTATCAATGACTTTTAGTCACAAATAGAATGTATCATTAATTGACCTGTTTGCATCTACTAAGTATGATTTAAATATGCCTGTCGATTCTTCTAAAAACTAAATGTTTATTAAGTTTATTAATTTACATTTCTCATTCATTTGCCTGTATATTTGTCCAAATAAACTAAAAATATTCAGAAAAATATTTGAATGAGACCTTGAGCAACACCATATACCCAAAAGCACTTGATAATGTAAACTTCCATTTATCCAGAATGACTAGGAAAGACACATTTCCATAAATATAATGTTAACTAAGACACACATATATACAAACTGACAAAGAATTATACTGCTATAAAATGAACTTAAAACAATATTGAGTATCACTTAACACTTCCTCCATGACTCAGAGGGTAAGTACATGTCAGGGTCTTGCAGTGCTATTAGTTCATCACCATGAACATCAACTATTAAATAGAAAAGAGGGGACTTAAAATGTCTTCAAGAGTACAAACACTGTCTTGCACTTCCTTTTCTATGCCCTATTCCAACTGGCAGAGAGCTGGGCACATAATCATTTTGTCAATTAACCTGTCCCCTAACACAGCAGACAGAGTTCAACTTTATTTGTTTAAACTTTCCAATGATTTAAATTCTAGGTCAAAAGACAATTACTATAAATACCTTTTGATGATGAATAATCTTCATCTTTAGAGATGAAAGAGCCACATCTACAATAATAACAACATAACTAGTAATTTGGCTGACTGTTTGGCAAGAATTGGAGCATATGGAAAAAAGAACCATCAGCCTTAGTCCAGACATTCTAAGTGGAGGTTAGGAGCCTCAATATCTTAACTGGAATGAAAGCTGCTATGAAGAGCCATAAACGTGGGTCAGAATACTATGACCTGTGAGATCAGACAGGAAAGTTTTAGAAAATCTAATGGCAAGGAGAAAATATACAAAAGTATTCAAAAGGAAAACAGTATAAAGTAATTGAATCATTGCAACTATGTTCCAGCCAATTGCCTAACAGAATAAAGCTCTGAAAAATAAAAGCCAAGGTTGAAAATTTCAACACAGAACTGGAAATCATAAAGAGTGACACCACTGAAAAAAATTGCCAAATAGAAATTCTAGGACCAAAAAATAAAATAAGCAAAATTAAGAATTCAATGGACCAGTTTAATATCATATTAGCTAAAGAAAGAATTAGGAAAGGGAAAACCATCCAGAATGAAGCACAGGAAACAGGAAAAAACAAACAAACAAACAAAAAACCAGAAGCATAAATATAAAAGAGAGAATAAAGTTTACAGTGAGAAGGTGTAACGTGCATTTAATTGGAATCCCAGAATTAGAGGACAGAAAGAAAGGAACAGAGGCAATATTTGAAGAGATAATAAATAAGAATTTTCCAAAAGTGGTAAAATATCATTCCACTTTTTTTTTTTTTTTTTTTTTTTTTTTTTTTTGAGATGGAGTCTTGCTCTGTCACCCAGGCTAGAGTACAGTGGTGTGATCTCAGCTCACTGCAACCTCTGCCTCCTGGGTGCAAGCAATTCTACTGCCTCAGCCTCCGGAGTAGCTGGAATTACAGGTGCCCACCACCATGCCTGGCTAATTTTTGTATTTTTAGTAGAGATGAGGTTTCACCATGTTGGTCAGGCTGGTCTCGAACTCCTGAGCTCAAATGATACGCCCGCCTTGGTCTCCCAAAGTGCTGGGATTACAGGTATGAACCACTGTGCACCGCCAAATATCATTCCACGGATTTAAGAAGTTCAATGAATTCCAAGCAAACTAAATAGGAAACTCACACACAGATACAAAGTGGATGTGCAAAAACCTCAAAACAGAAAACTTCATGAGCAGCCAGGGAAAAACACATGAATTACATCCAAAGGAACAACAGTTAGAATGAAACTAACTTCTCTATAGCAATACACAACAATAATATATCCTAAAATGTGTTTGTTCCAACAAAGCAAGATTGGTTTAACATTTTAAAATCTTGTAATTCACTCCACTAACAGAGTAACAGAGAAAAATTATATCATCTCAAAAGATGTAGGAAAAATCATCTGATGAAATACAATACCCTTGCATGATTAAAAAAACAACAACAAAAGCTCTTGCAAACTAAAAGGAATAGAATAATAAAGCTTATCTCCCAAAATTGATCATATTGAATAATGAAAGCTTTCCCTGTGCAGTGAGGAATCAGACAACAAGGCCTGTTATCACTGCTTTTATTATCCTGGTAGCATCAACAGTTCAGTAAGGCACAGAAGATACCAAAGATAGAAGAATTAGAAAGGAAGGAACGAAACTATCATTATCCACAAATGATCTGATTTCATATATATATAATCCAAAATAAGAAATTTTCTAGATAAGTCCAATTTATTCCCATTATATATTTCCTTATATTGGCCACATCTTTCATATACTAACAACAAGTGCCTAGAAAGAAGGCTAATAAAAGATGAGAACTTCTACATAGAAGACAATTATTGAAATTCAAAGATAAATGAGGAAATATGCAATATTCTCAGATTACAAGACCAATATCACAAAGATGTCAATTCTCCCCAAATTCATCAGACTCTATATAATCCCAATTAAAACCCAAACATGTTTGTGTGTGGAGACAGGAATTGGGGCAATTTAACAAGTTGATTCTAAAATTTATATGAAAATGTCAATAGCTAGGAATAGACAAAATATAAAGCCTGGGAAAGACAGAATGATATTAGAGCAAGGACAGAAACAGAACAAAGCATCAGGTTAAGAAACAGACTCACAAATATCTTGTCAGTGATTTCTGACAAGGGAGTACAACAAAATGGAGGAGAAGAGTGGTCTTTTCAATACATAGTATTAGGACAACGGGATATTCACGTAGAAAGGAATAAAATGGAATTCCTACTGCACATGATACACATAAATCAATTGTGTGAAAGGCAAAACAACGAAGGTCTTAGAAGATAATACAGGAAAATATCTTCATGACCTCAGAACATGAAGAAGCTGACTACACTAAAATAATTAACTGTGAAAAGGCAAATCTAGAAGGTGGGAAAAGATATTTACAACTAGCAACAAATGGCTCAAATATAAAAATACACACAAACACACACATATACATATATAACAACAAATCAATAAGAAAAAAACCCAGGGAAAAAAATGGACTGGAGACATGAACAGGCACTTCATAGAAGAGAAAACACATACGGCTAATAAACTTCTAAAAAGGTTTCAACCACTTTGTTCTGGCGAAACGCAAATTAAAACCATACTAAGGCAACACTACACACTCATCAGAACGGCTAAAATTTTAAAACTCACAATACCAACTATAGACGAGGATACAAAACAACACTGCTACAGAAGTAGTAACTGTTCAGCCACTTGGAAACTGTTAAGTTATCTGCCAAAGGTGAAAATGCACATATTCTATGACTCAGCAAGGACATTCCTATGTATTTATCTTACAGAAATGCATGAACATGTGTACCAGGCCATACGATAGATTCAGATTATTGTAATGCTCTCAAACCAGAAACAATCATATAACCATTAACATTAAAATGAACTATTATATATATTATAATGTATCCACGCCATAGAATATTACACAGCAATGAAAATCAATGGGCCACAGCTCCAGGCAATAATATGAATTAATGTCACAAGTGTAATGTTGGGTACAGGAAGCCCGACAAAATAATTCATACTGCATAATTTGTTGGAGGCCAGTTTTAAAGAAAACAGGAGTAGTGCATATGATCTAACATGTTGTCACCAAAAAGGGGCACTCGGAAGGGGAGGGCTTCTGGGTCAGAACCAGCAATGTTCTATTTCTTGCCCTTTGCGGTGGTTCATCAAGCTCTTCTTTGAGGTTTCACGTACTTTTCCGTATGTCTGTTTGATCTCTTATAAAAATGGTTTAGGAAAATTAAACCAACTAGCTTACCCTGAGACTAGCATCTGCCCATCATGGGAAAAAGCACAAGCCAGAACAGGAGCACAGTGCCCACTCAGGGTACTTTTATATTTTAATTCAAAACCTGCAAATAACAAGGTAACAGAGATTAGAAAGTTGACCATGCTTAGAACTGATTTTTAAGTCAACGCCATTTCACTTGTTTATTCAACAAATAATCTTTGAGTGCCTAAAGGACACAAAAATTAAAAACCCTCATGCAGTTCAGATATCTATAAGGAAATAATCGGGATGCAGTGTGATTAACTGGTTTCTGTTGACTAAAGAAAAAAGTCAAGTTTTTAAAGAATTCAAGTAGTTTTACTCAAAAGTCTTTCTGAGGACTATAGACTAAGGCCTATGGCCTGGGAACTACAGGGCAGTCTATGAGACCACTCCAAAGTGGTGCTTCAGCCTGCTGCTCATATACAGGTGGGAGAGGCTTAGTACGTGCAAAATCACATCAAACAGAGGTTACATTAAAGCAGAATCACATCAAGGTCTGGGTGTAAGAGTACATCTGGTTATAGATTACCAAAGTGCATTCGGTTACAGATTGCAGACACGTGATCTCCGGACGTTATCTCAGGTAAGAAAAGGCAAGGCTGGGCTCGTTTATCTTTTAAGGAATGTAGTGACTCAGGCAAGAGACATGGGGGACTCTGTGCTCTCCTCTGTTTTGTCTTCAAGGCATTCTTCCGGAGAGCTGCACGTTGTCACAGAGTCGGGGGTTTTGTGAAATTATGCTGGCAAGCAGAAAGGAGCAAACACGGCTTCTCCTGTTTGTTACTCTGTCTCACATTTCAAAAGCTCAGTAATGGATTTTAAAAAGCAGCTCAACAAAGGCTAGATGGGGTAATTTCGTAACTACCAAAATTTTTAAACGTTTAAACTATACCACAATTTTGGTGTCTGATAAAAACAAAATATGCCAACTGCCCAAAAGACTTAAAAAAATGCTTATAATTTTTTAAATCTGGCATTTAAAAATATTTCGTCATCCTGTAAATAATCAATGGTAATTTACACATCTTGAAATTCCAATATTATCTTTATAACACTCCTACAAAGTATAAAAAAGTGTAAAATCCCTTTTATGCTTTTAGAATTACTAAACATAAATATCACAACTGTGTTAAAAGTATACTGAGGGAATTCAATACATTTTGGTGACAACCTATAAAAATAAATATTAAGAAATTGGCAAGGGTTGGAGGAAAGGAAAAGGAAATACACAAGGGAAATTTATAACTACATCAAACACAATAAAACCTTTTTTGAAGTGTTAAATGTCTTTTAGTGAGGATAACAAGCATTTAACTAAAGAAAAAGGTCATCAGAGTAAGTAAAAGTTTCAAGCTCAAAACAGGAAAAAAAATATTTTTATCTGGGAGAGCAGAGACACACTAAAGGCACCATGCTAGAAATACAAGTGCTAGAAACACAATGATGAACTTCAAAAGGCTTTCATTCTAACTGGGAACAGAGCAATAAGTAGGCATGATTAATCAAACAAAGCAAACATATTAAGGTGCAAACCAAATTAAGACTACAAAACTTTAATACAACCATAAGAATAGGTTATGTCCTCAAGTATAAGACCCATATGTCTCTCTACTCCTCCCTACAAATAAGCAAATAAGGTACCAATGGTGATAAATGCTTTATGAAAAGGTTTTATTATTATTTTCTTTTTTTTCAGAGAGTCTCCTTCTGTCACCCAGGCTGGAGTGCAGTGGTGCAGTCTCGGCTCACTGCAACCTCCACCTCCTGGGTTCAAGTGATTCTCCTGCCTCAGCCTCCCAGGAAGCTGGAACTATAGCTGTGCACCACCACACCTGGCTAATTTTTGTAGTTTTGTCGAGACCGGGTTTCATCACATTGGCCAGGCTGGTATCGAACTCCTGACCTCAAGTGATCCGCCTGCCTCAGCCTCCCAAGTTCTGGGATTACAGTCGTGAGTCACCATGCCCAGCCTTATGAAAAGGTTGTAACTGCATGTTTATAAACTGTCATGTATGTTTTTGTGAAAAAGTCAGTGTGAACATATTTTCCAGTAAACATGTGAAACGCTTTACTTTTGAACAGTTATCAAAGGAACATATTTATTTCCTGATAAAAGGTTCTTCTCTATACACTACAGGATAATTATGAACAACAAAAATGTAGTTTGTCATTTAACTGAAGTGTACTAGGTAACAAATAATATTTTGAGGCTCCTGAATCAATCAAGATGACCACAATATTGCAGATTCCCATGAAAATGTCAATGAAGGAATTAATAAAGACAGAAATGTACACTGGTAAAGAGAGTGGGAAGAGGGGCATCAGCAAACCAGACACTGAATCAACTTTGGGAAGATAGAAAGCACATTAAGTAATGAAGTATAAAAGAATAACAGCCCAGTGTACAAAGAGACGGGGGTACAGCCAAGAAAGTTATTCTGCCCTAGGAAACACCCCAAGACTGGCCAAGTGTAGTGGCTCACACCTGTAATTCCAGCATTTTGGGAGGCCAAGGTGGGAGGATCATTTGAGGCCAGGAGTTCGAGACCATTCTGAGAAACAAACTGAGACACTGTCTCTATAAAAAATTTAAAAATTAGCCAGGGCAAGACCAGGGAGAGGAGGTGGAGAGGGTAGGAAGAAAATACCTCAAGGTTCCAGAATATCAATAGCTAGGAAAAAGGAAAATTAGAATGACACAGACATAGACCAGAAAAGAGAAAAATTGACTGACTGTATACAGATCATTTGGCGTCTACCTCCAATCTCTCCCCAACTTCACCCTTAGTATGCTGCACAAAAGCCAAGCACTTATCCCCAGTGAAACCTTTCAAACAAACAACTGTCTGGGAAGCCCTAGGGTGACAGAGTATCTACTCCCCAAGTCCCCAGTCCCTCACCCAGAAGGGCCAATTACCCACCTCCTCATCCTAGAGGGAAGCCAGCACTAACAAACCACCCCTGTGCACAGAGCTTCTAAACATTATTGTCTAATTCTTAAATGCAAACAGAATACTAAGCAAAAAGGGGACTCGACTGCAAACAAAGCTCAGAAAACAGGAGGGAACTTAAAAACAAAGCAAAAACTCCTAAAAGACATCCTGAGAGTTTTGAGAGCTTACCTTTATAACGGACACTATGAAAAGGAAACGAAGATGATGATGAGCTTTCAGAATCTGAAAATATGATTAACGACATAAAAGATTCAAAAGAAGGTTAACAGAAAAAGCAGAGAAATTTTTCCCTAAAGTATAAGAAAAGAGAGAGAAATGTGGGGGAAAAAAAAGAGAATCAATTCAGGAGGCCCAACATTCAATTAATGGAAGTTGTAAAAAGAGAGAAGGATGAAAGAAATAGCATAACGGAATACTTTATTCCAAAACTGCACAAAATAAGCTTCCTGACTGAAAGGGTCACCTGACGGAATAGTACAATGGAAGGGAAAAGACCCACACACTAACAAAAAGCAGTACCTACAGTGAATAAATAAAAAATATAGTGGTATAAACAATGTTCACAGAAACTGTGAAAACCACCAAAGGAGTTGAAATCAAGTGCAAAGTGGTCCCCTCTGGTGAGCAGAAATGTGCATGGCAGTAGTATGGGTGAGGTCATGATCAGCAATGAGCACCTGATTTTTCAATCATGTGTATTACTTTGATTAAAAGTTTCTTAAACCATATTTTTGTACTTATTTTTAGATACTCAGGCTACCTTAAGTAAAAAGATTAAACAGAAATTTTATCCAGACCACAAATAATTTTAGAGAAGTGCTACTTAGCATACATACCTAAGATATGGGTAAAAGAAACAATCCAAATTTTGACTTGGCAATCCTGACCACATGATGCCAATCGAAAAAACTGAAGACCTTGTTCTCCATCTAAAATTTGTTAAAAATAAATACAGAGAATTTGTAAAACACTGAAATCCCCCCAAAATTTCCATTTCTTAAACTGAGATCTGTTAATTCTACTCATTTAAACCATGTTCACAAGCTATTAGTTAACTTATACCATTTAACAAAATGTTGATTAAAGAATTTCTTTTAAACAAGGTACTATATAGGATTATTAGTCCTCAAGTTGCTACAATAAAATACCTTTCATTTACATTCCTCAAAGAATAGAACTCAAGGCTGCAAGAACCAATATTGAGTCACTAAATAGAGCATCCTCTAACCCAATTTTAGAGTCTATGAGGCTAGCATTGATGGGAAAAATTAGGAAGAAAAGTCAGTTACTTTGACAGTGTTAAATGTTTCATCATTCCCAACCTTTTTTTAAGGTCATAGCAATTTCTTCCTTTTTTTTTTTTTTTTTTTTTTTTTTAGACAGAGTCTCACTCTGATGCCCAGGCTGGAGTACAATGGTGCGATCTCAGCTCACCGCAACCTCCGCCTCCAAGGTTCAAGCAATTCTCCTGCCTTAGCCTCCCAAGTAGCTGAGATTAGAGGCATGTGCCACCACGCCTAGCTAATTTTTGTATTTCTAGTAGAGATGGGGTTTCACCATGTTGGCCAGTCTGGTCTTGAACTCCTGACCTCATGATCCGCTTGCCTCAGCCTCCCAAAGTGCTAGGATTACAAGCATGAGCCATAGCACCGGCCTAAGGTCTTATCAATTTCTTAAAAGCCTGGTCTATAGTTCATATGGAATAATGAGAATTTTTTTCCATTTGATTTAATCAAGCCAAAAGCTGGAATTACAGAAATCAAAAATAACATCAATTCACTCCATTTGGTTGAAAATATTATATTATTGAGGGAAAGTAATCAGTTAAATGGTGTCCCAGAAGCACTACTACTTTACACTTACTTCATTTTAGCGTATCATTATATATCTGCTAGATTAAGTTCCTAAACAATTTTGGATAAGGTAAATATTGATATCATCAATGCAATTTTACACAAGTGGTACCTAATATCACATGTAGTTTCATCAAGTAAGTTTTGGCATTCATATGCAGTAAAGCACAATTCAGAAATTGAGGCTGGGCATGGTGGTTGAAGCCTGTAATCCTAGCACTTCAAAAGGCTGACACCGGGAGTTTGAGACCAGGCTGGGGAATATGGTAAGACCCTGTCTCTACAAAAAATTTTGTTAAATTAGCCGGGTGTAGTGGCACACATCTGTAGTTGTAGCTACCTAGGAGGCCGAGGCAGGGGATCCCCTTGAGCCCAGGAGTTTGAGGCTGCAATGAGCTATGATCATATCACTGCACTCCAGCCTGGATGACAGAGCAAGACCCTGTCACCAAAACAGAAATCTAATATCCATCTTGAGATTGCACTCCGGCTTACCAAATATTCAGTATATAAAATTTAACAAATGTATACACCTGGGCATGTAAATTTTTTCTATGGACTCTGCCTCTCTGAAAGTACAAACACTTTACTAACAAACAACGAATTAAATTCCATTTCACTGAAAGTTTTTCTAACTCCACGGGACTTCCATATTTCAATAGCGTTTTTATTTTTTCTGTAGCATAGGTTTACCCAAAATGTATCCTTTCTAAGAGAGATCTTGAGGGATACAAGCAATTCCTGATAATCACTGTCTTTTTAAGGCAAAACATTTTATTCAATAAATGACTGAGAGCAAAATATTTCTGTATTAGACCTAATTACCAAACCTATTTTTTTCATCGTTTCTTAACTAAATAGATCCTTTGAAGTTAATTCTAAAGTTCTTTAAGTAGTGAAAATTCAGCTAAGACAATGGAAAATTACACAGCTTAAAATATGCTTATGTTCAGTATCTAAATATAATATTTAGAAACATACTTTTCTTCAGGAAAAATATTTAAATTATAATAACCTAATAATCCACACTTTATCATTTAAAAACTGGAGAGAAATGATTATTTACTCTCAGGTGCAAACAGGATTATTTTTCCTTATTTCAGCAAAATGTCACAAGATGAGTTAATATATCGTAAGTATTTACAGATAATAACAAATACTAAATTAAACAAATTTAAATTATATACTTTGTCTTCTAAATAAATACAGTTGTTCCCACAAATTCCTACAATAATCACTTTAAAGCATGTATCAATTTGTTTCAGACAATTTACTCATAAGGTTAAGATATATTTCAACAGCAACACTGAAGGAACTAAAGAAGGCACGAAGATTAAAATTCTACCGAGAGAAGTGTATAATACGTTCTAAAGGCAGGGTGGGGATGTGGGTATCATTTCAGAGTCTCATCTAGAATTCTCTGCCTGGTGTAGTGAGTCTTTCCTGACCCCAGAAGCTCCCAATCTCTCTAAACGCAGGACAAAAAAGCCCTTATTTTCATTCTAATATTAAAACTAATATAGTGGTCTTTTCATTGGAAATCTATCTTCAGATCATTTAGAACCAAAAAAGGAACCTAGATCTCTCCACACTTATATAATTCACCAGATTCATTGAGTGCCTACAAGATGTGGAGAAGGTATCACAGAAATGGAAGCAATGACTTGCTACAAGCTGTCCTTAGAGTAAAACAGCACAGAACAATATATTAAAAGAATAACTGCCTTAATTAAATTAGGGAGGCAGTTTAACATAAGAATGGGTTTATGAAAAGAAAATCTATTATTTCAGCAAATCATTAAAAAGAATCTTACTCATCAATCTACATTTCAAGGCCTACTCTGTATCAGGTACGATGAATAAAAGAGACCCAGGCCCTGTCTGCCTGGAGCTTACAAGCTAATAGGAAAAACACCATTAAATATTATCCATATAAATATAGAATTAAAACTTGTGATAGTATTATGAAAGAAAAATAAAGCATGCAAATAAAAGACTATATCAAAATTATACAGATTTAGTGCAGGAGTTAAGAGCAGGAGAGGCTTATCTTTAGTGATTTTCAGCCAAATTCTAACGGACATAACAGCAAACCAGGTAAAGGGTCTGCACATAAAACCCTTGGAAAAATCTTAGAAACATTCCAGGAATTAAAGAAGGTCAATGTGGCAAAAAAATGCATGAGGCCAAGAGCAATTTGAGATTAGGGGGAAGCAGAACATGTTTTGCTTTTGGGATCTGGGATCTTAATCATATCTTAACAAGCCACTGATGGGCTTGAAAAGGGCGGAATACCACAATCTTCCTGTCTACTCTCTGGACCTGTTTTGTCCAATAAGGCAGTGACTGGCCATATGTGGGTACCAAAGACTTGAAATGCAGCTAGCCCAAATTGAAATGTACTATCTATAATATACACACCAGATTTCAAAGACTTAGTACAAAAGATAAAGTATCTTAATAATTTTTATTATCAATTATTGAAATTACATTATATACTGGGATTATACTGTTAAAATTAATTTCATCTACTACTACAACATTTTAAATTTTCCTAAGTGGCCTGCAGTACGTTGTTATGGACAGCACTGGTCTGGCAACAAGACTGCAGGGGAACAAGAGCTACAGAACTCCCACCCACTAACACGGAAAATGAAAACTTTAAAGAAAGAACTTTCCAATTTACTGTACCTATTTAAAAGCAAGAGACTATATTCAGGATCTCTGTTTATTTCTAAAAAATCAATTGTGTTGGCAAACATTTTATAAATTTAGCTTTTGGAAGATTAAATTAGTAAATGGAAAACATAGCTTCTATTTCCAATTTTTAACGTTTACATTTCTACTTGAATATCAACATAGTGTTTTTTTCTTTTTTTTAATTGCAATCCTATCAATAGGGTTAGGTCCTCTAAATTGCCATATCCAAGGAATCTGAATCTATTGTACCAATCTGAGTCACCCCCTGCATATAATAAAGAATGTAATTTTCTTGCAGGAAACTCCAAGGCCCCCCCCGCAAAAAAAGAAAAGAATGTGATTTTCTCATATATTTTTTCAGATTTCATTTTGGTCAAAAAAGAGAGAAGGATAATCCCTTTACAGGAATAAATTAAGAGGGCTCCTCATTCTACTAATGATAACATACAAAAGAATAAAAGAACAAGTCATATACAGCACAAATTATAAACAGGAATTTCTAGCGCTTAAAAGAATAAAATAACCAACCAGAAACTGGCTGTGAAGAAAAATCGCAGCAGGTAATTCCAAGATCATGTGCTTTTTCACTATGCAGACACCTCATTTTATCATCCCACACTGTTAAATCACCACATGAGGAGCCAGTGACAAAGAAGCTTCCATTAGGAGAAAATGCACATGCCACCAAGGAGCCATCTTTAACACTACCACATCTGAAATAAAAGTAAAAAGTGGGTTTTCATTTCAGAGTATCTTTTACTTTATACCACAGTCTCTAACAGCAGCTTGATATAGTAAAAAGAGAATAAATGGCTATAACAGATCTAGAGAGAAAGGACAATTGATGCCTACAGAAATAAAATATCATTTATATGCTATGAACTGAGATACACTGTCTAAAAGCAAGGAAGGATTTAAATACCCTCCCTTAAACATTTTAACTGGTATGTTCAAGCTTAAATTACAAACCAAAGTCCACATATCTTCATATTTTTCCACAGGGCAAATCAGTATAAACACATTAAAATCTGTAAAACTTAAACCAGAAAAGCAATGACAAGCAACATCAACTACAAACATTTTTTTTTTAAAGGTGAGATAAAACTATTTTTATTGGAAAATATGTTATTGGAGTCAAAGGTACTTTCAATGTCTGTATTAAAAATTACCTTGAAGCAACGGTGAGGTCTTCAAATATAAATTATTCATGAAAGGAAAATGCTGTGGGCAAGTTAAAATTATGTTAGGAAGACAGGGAGGCACTGTGCTGAAGATATTAATATTAGATCAGTTAGGAAAAATAAGCTGTTAAAAACCCAACAATTAACGCACTGTCCCATCCAGCAGGGTATCTATCACTTATATATAATTAATTACATTCTTTAGGGATAGTTATGCTATACAGCCAGAAGTTGTCATTGGATAAGATTCCTTAGCTGACAGCTGGATTTCATGCATATAAAAAAGATATCTGGCCTAAGTGTTCATTAACACCACTTAAAACACATCACCCTCTTCAACCCAGACCTAAGCTTAAATGAGCAATAGTTGTGGACCAACTGGCATTTGCGCTCTGAAAGATGCTGGGAGATAGGAGGAAGGGGAGGTACACTAGGCTATTTTAATTGTTAATTACTTAAAAGCGCATGATTTCTAATGTTCTTAATGTCATCTAAAAGTGTTAACTTTTTTTTTTGAGACCGGGTCACTCAGTCACTCAGGGTGGAGTACAGTAGTGCAATCCTAGCTCACTGCAGCCTCAAACTCCTGGGTTCAAGCGATTCTCTCACCTCAGCCGCTGGAGTAGCGAGGACTACAGGCACACGCCACCACGCCTAGCTAATAAAAATAACTTTTGTTATGTATATTTTGCTACAATATAAATAAATGTGAATAGTTTTAATGTTGTTAAATTGCAATACAACATTACCAATGTAAATTAATTGACTGTTTTTTTCCCAAAAGAGTCTTTCTGGTGAGTTGTTTTTTTTTTTTAAGAAATGATAAATAACACATCACCACCACACCAGGTATGAGGTTCTTTCTTCTGGGCTTGTTCATTCACCCAGCAAGAATTGCAGTCAGAGAAATAACTGCATCTCTTAGCTGAGCTTTACATACTATTACTTTATTATTGAAAACACTTGGGCCAGGCGCAGTGGCTCACACCTGTAATCCCAGCACTTTGGGAAGCCAAAGCAGGTGGATCACATGAGGTCAGCAGTTCAAGACCAGCCTGGTCAACATGGTGAAACCCGGTTTCTACTAAAAATACAAAACATTAGCTGGGCGTGGTGGCGGCAGTCTGTAATCCCAGCAACTAGGGAGGCTGAGGCAGGAGAATCACTTGAACCCGGGAGGCGGAGGATTCAGTGAGCCTAGATCGCACTATTGCACTCCATCCTGGGCAACAAGAGCAAAATGCTGTCTCAAAAAAGAAAGAAAACACTTAAACCACAAGTGACAAAAATAAAGCCTAACACAAGTATAAATATGTAACAAACCTGCACGTTGTGCACATGTACCTTAGAACTTAAAGTATAATAAAAAAAAAAAAAAGAAAGAAAGCCTAAATTTACTGAACCTTTAAAATGCTGCATTGTTTAACTCTTACAATTAAAAAAAAAAACATAAAAATCTAACAAGGTTAACTCTTAATTTTAAGATTGGAAATATAAAACTCTCAGAGCTAAGCAAATGTACTATAAGAATCATATTAAACATCTCTCTGGGTATTTGACCTTTAGAAGGCCAGTTACAAATTTTTTTTTTTTGAGACGGAGTCTCACTCACTCCCAGGCTGGAGTGCAGTGGTGCAATCTTGGCTCACTGCAAGTGTGGCCTCTCAGGTTCACACCATTCTCCTGCCTCAGCCTCACAAGTAGCTGGGACTACAGGTGCCCACCACCACACCCGGCTAATTTTTTGTACTTTTAGTAGAGACAGGTTTTCACTGTGTTAGCCAGGATGGTCTCGATCTCCTGATCTCGTGATCCACCCTCACTGGCCTCCAAAGTGCTAGGATCACAGGCGTGAGCCACCGCTCCCGGTCCAGTTAAAATATTTTTTCTTGTGCTACCTGAAAACTATTGACTTCCTAGGGTCATCGAAATATTTTTCTTTTTTTCTACATCACTTAGACTGTGCAGAATATCAAAATATTTTGCTTTCAGCTTTTTTTAAGTACACCTAGTCAACAGGATTAAAACAGGAAGAATTTAAATATCCATACCTATATAACTTGTATGACTGTGCATTCCACAAAACCAGAGTTCCATCAGCTGCCCCTGATGTCAAACACCTGGAGTCTGGGGAAAACTGGCAAACCCTCACGGGGCTGCCACTAGGCTGTTCCATCACTGCCAACATCTGTCCATTTTCAGTATTCCATAGGACAGTGGTACCATCTGTTGAACACGATGCCAAAATACGTCCTGAAGGGGAGAAACAGCAGCAGTGGACAGCATAGGTGTGAAACTTCAACGGAGAGTGTGGCAGTTCAGTAAAGTCATGTAACGAGTATAGGCGAATTGTTTTATCCAAGGAGCAAGTAGCCAAGAGGGAAAAGGAGAAGGCACAGCAGTTGACATCGTCACCATGATCAGCTAATGTGTGAATCAGTTTCACCATGTTCTTTATTTGAAGTAAAACAGCCTGAAATTTTTAAGCACATAAAGGTTATTTATTCTAGGAATCAGATAAATGCAATTTGAATCTATATAAAAGGGCCAAAATGTTTTAATCTGCTCAATGAATTCTTCCACATCAACATTTTAAAGCAGTGGTCCCAACCTTTTTGGCAGCAGGGACCAGTTTCAAGGAAGACAATTTTTCCCTGGACTGGGGTGTGGGGGATGGTTTCAGGATGAAACAGCTCCACCTCAGATCATCAGGCTTTAGATTCATAAGAAGCACACACCCTTGATCCCTAGCAGGCGCAGTTCACAACAGGGCTTGTGGATACCTGTAGCCCTAACTACAAAAATTAGCAGGGTGTGGTGGCGCGTGCCTGCAGTCCCAGCTACTTGGGGGGCTGAGGCAGAAGAATCCCTTGAAGGGAGGCGGAGGTTGCAGTGAGCCGAGATCACCCCACTGCACTCCAGCCTGGGTGACAGAGCGAAACTCTATCTTAAAAAAAAAAGAAAAGAAAGAAAGAAAGAAAATCTAACACCGCAGCTGATCTGCCAAGAAGTGGAGCTCACTCATGCCCTCACCTCCTGCCGTGCAGCCCAGTTCCTAGCAGGCCATGATGGGTACCAGTCCTCAGCCCTGGGGTTGGGGAGCTCTGTTTTGTCTTTGTGAGACAGGGTCTCCCTCTGTCACCCAAGCTGGAGTGAAGTGGCATGTTCTCAGCTCACTGCAACTCCTGCCTCCTGGGTTCAAGTGATTCTCCTGCCTCAGCCTCCCAAGTAGCTGGGATTACAGGCGTGCCCCACCACGCCTGGCTAATTTTTTGTATTTTTAGTAGAGGTGGGGTTTCCCCATGTTGGCCAGGCTGGTCTTGAACTCCTAGCCTCAAGTGATCCACCCATCCTGGCCTCCCAAAATGCTGGGATCATGGGCATGAGCCACCGTGCCCAGCCAAGAGAGCTCTGTTTTAAAGGACAACCTGTTACCTGGGATAAGAACAATTTGGAGAAAAAAAATCTATTAAGACTAAAACCTCGGATTTTCACAACCACCTTTGTTATACCAATAAATTTCCACAATTCCTCAAAAAGAACCTTGTCAAATAACTTCAAACTGATTTGATGTTGAGCTTTCAAAACCTAAGGTGTTTATTTCACCTTTGAAGTCTTTCTCATAAGGAGTTCTCAAAAATATCCCATTCCAGATCTGCTCATCTCAACTCAAAAAGTATTTTCTATTCTAATAATTATCTTAGCTGCTCCCTCCACAGGATGGAGCCAAGGCTATCTGCTCCGCCTTTAAAATGAAACTGTAGGATTTGCTCTTAAAAAAACCAACAAAAGTCTCACTGAAAATTTATTAATAAGGGGCCATGTTGAAAGCTATCCTACCATGGTTTGTCATCCTGTCTGATAAACAGTAATTATACAAAAGACTTGAGGTGAGGAACCACCTCTGAATGCATCAAGGAAACCAAGAAAAGAAAACCTAAGAAAGTGTCAAAAAATGAACTTAGGCAGACCACATTCAAGAACAAATTTACAAATTTAGAATAAAATCAAACTCCTCACGATGGCAAACAAAATCCTATATAATCAAAATCCTATATAATTCCCGCCTGCCCACTTCTCAGATCTCAACTCTGGTCAGTCTCCCTCTCTTCTTTCCAGCCTCCTTGGCCAAACAATCTTTCGTCTCCATAAAGCGGTTTTCTCGAGCTTAAATGCTCTTCCCTCTGCTCTTCGGATTCTATTTGTCATTTAGATCTCAATTTCAGTGTCTCTCCTCAGAGAGGGTTTCCCTATTTAAAGCAGCCACTTTCTAGGCTAGCACATCACCCTATATTCTCAGCAATTACCACTAGCATCGGATATTTGTTCAATTGTCTCCCCCGACTAGGATGTAAACTCCAAAGGACTAGGGACTTTGCCATCTTGCTCATTTCTGTAGCCACACCATGTAAAACTGTCAGGCATCTAATGTACTTATATAAATATATGTTGAGTATTTATTTTGCTGAAGCCCAATTGAGTTCCAGCCTTTAAATAATCTATACGTAATATGAAATTAGAAAATCTACCAAGACTAAATATATATATACACACACACACACACACACACACACATAACTGACGGTGGAAAATTGGTGTAGAGGCAGAATCAGCTCTGAAAGGGGCAGGTATAACCTTGACTTGTAAAATTGATAATCCTGTGTCCTAGTCTTATTTACGGAAATACCTCTACCAAAAAAATAAATAAATAAAAGTCTGACTGCGATGGTGCACACCTGTAGTCCCAGCACTTTGGGAGGCCGAGACGGGTGGAACACTTGAGCCCAGGAGTTTGAGACCAGTCTGGGCAACAAGGCAAGACCCCATCTCTCTAAAAATAAAAATAATTAGCTGGGTGTGGTGGCGAACACCTGCAGTCCGGGCTACTTCAGAGGCTGAGGCGGGAGCATCGCTTGAGCCCCGGAGGTGATGACTGCTGTGAGCTGTGATTGCACCACTGCACTCTAGCCTGGGCAACAGAGCAGGATCCCATCAATCAATCAAACAATTAAGACATAAGGACCATGCCTTTCCCCATCACAATTTTCTCCTTTTTAGAATAAGTTCAGTCTCTTTTTTTCGAACATAAACTCCAATAAAGCCTAAAAACCAAACACGAAAATTTCTGGTAGACTATCCCTGTACTGTTGCATTGAAAACAATTAAGACCAGGTGGTGCTTTCTGCAGAGCTCGCAAATCCCAGCTGTGCAAGTGCGCACAGGTGATTTTCCAAACAAACTTCCGCTCCCAGCCCTCTGCGGCACTCAGCTCCCTTTGCAGCTCCAGTGGATTTAGTGGAAGCACCGAGCCACCTTCAGCTGAATAGTTTGTTTTGAAAAAGCTCTCAGGCCTACCCAGGACCTGCCTGGGGGTGTGGGCGTCCCCTCGGGCCTCCGCTGTCACGCGAACAGTAAATTACCGGGCACGCCAGGTCAGCTGGCCAGCGTAAACATATGGATCCCATCTCATCCAAAGCAAACCTGAAAGGTGCCCAGCGCTCCCAAAATAAAGTCCGCGACTTACACCCCCCACGCACGAAAGACCAGGAATGTGCCCCACTCTGACAGCGGCCGGGCCTCTGCGGACGGAGCGACCCAGGCAGGAGGGCAGCTTGGGAGGCAGGGAGCTCACCCGCAGGGGGCTTCCTTCCACCCGGCGCCAGCACGCCTGCCCTAGCCCCAGGCCAAGGGTGCACGAACCAGGCCTCGCTGCACTCAAAGTCCCAGCAGGGCCCTGCTACGCAGTTAGAACCGGGAAATGGAGGGTTCAGACGCCCCGCGCGAGCAGGCCCAGCCGGCTAAGCCCAGCCGCGCTCCCCCACCTGCCGCCGCTGAGCCGGCCCATAGGCGCGGCCCCTCTCACCTGCAGGGCGCAGAGCGCGCCGGATCCTCTATCTGGTGCCCACGGGTCACGTGCCGCGCAGGTGAGGTGGGCGGGGCGGGGCCCTCTGAAACCCAGAGACTGGGGACCAGGCCCCGCCCCGCGAACGCCCGTGGAGACCCAGGGCGGAGGGAACAGGCCCCGCCCCCGGGGCTGGCCCTTGAGGCGGCGCATGCGCGACCTTCCGTCCGGACTGCGAGTTCCTCTCCAGCTTCTGGCTCTAGGGTCAAGGCTAGTTCAGGCTTGGAAAGGGGCTTCAATCGTAATTCTATCTGTTTTGCTAAAGCTGCGGTGGCAAGGCCTAGTGATCGCCTGAAACGTCGTTTTAAAGGGGGCGTTGCATCGACTGTTCGTCCATCCCTGCTGAAAGTTTTTACCTCTTTCTCCCATTCTCCCCCCTGCACTGTGTTCTCCGAGGGCGGTCTCCCGGATTGGCCTTCTCGGTTTCGGCCACCCTGGGCGGTCCGTGACTTGGCTTCTTCTGCCCTCGCCTCCGCACTCGGGTTCCCCCAGAGGTCTCTCCCTGGCAGGCTGCCTGCCCCGGGCCCCAGCCCTGCCACTGAGTGGGTATCCTGAGCTCACTGGAACCCCGGGCGCCTTTTCTTCAGCCTTTCCCAGTGCACCCCAGTGGCTAACGGCAGACGGGTTTCCATGTGTCACTGACTACAAAGTGGCCCTGCCATCCTTTTTAAGATAAAAATTATCCAGAGAAAAAAGTTCCTGGGCAAGTTGCCACTTGTTAACTAAATGCACGACATAGTGTGGGACTATGTTCAGATGAAAATCAAAGGCTTTTGTTTTTAATCCGTGAGGAAACATTAAAAATATATCAACCTGTGGAAACCAAAGTTACATTTGAAGTGTAATGACCTAAAATGCTCACATTTAAAGATGAAATTGAGACCGTGGGAAACTATTTGTAATGAAAAAGACTAAGGGGAAAGGGGAGATCAAAATTTATGATTTTGCGAAGCTCTTGGTAATTTTTTAAAATTAGCAGAGTGCATCATGATTGAGACTTTGAACACCAAATTCCATTCCAAAGTATTGCTAAAACAGTATTTTTCTAAAAACAAGTTTTTGATTGTATAAATAATGGAGCTCTCTGTAGAAAACACAGACTATATAAACGGGAAAATAGTGAATAAATTACACACTCAGAGATAACGCACTCAGAGATAACATTTTCTCTCAGTCTTTCAGAAAAAACAGTAATTTTACAAAAAGTCCTGGAAACTGCCTTTTTAAACAAACTTGTGTCATGAGCTTTCCCCATGTCTAAAATTTCATTAGCTTTTTTTTTCCTACCTAATGGTCTACATGGAAACATACCATAAATTATTTAACATTTTCCCTGTTACTGAATGGTTTCAACATTTTTGCTCTTAGTATAAATAATGCTGGATTAAATATCTTTGTACCTAAATCTTTTTTTCTTTTAGCCTCAATATATTACCACGTTGTGTACATAAATGTTTATCCATATTTATGAATATGTACCTAGGATAAAAATTGAAATGGAGGCCTGGCGCGGTGGCTTACGCCTGTAATCCCAGTACTTTGGGAGGCCAAGGTGGGTGGATCACCTGAGGTCAGGAGTTCGAGACCAGACTGGCCAACATGGTGAAACCCCGTCTCTACTAAAAATACAAAAAATTAGCCGGGCATGGTGGCACGCGCCTGTAATCCCAGCTACTCAGGAGGCTGAGGCAGGAGAATCTCCTGAACCCAGGAGGCTGAGGTTGCAGTGAGCAGACATCGCGTCATTCTACTTCCAGCCTGGGGGATAGAGTGAGACTTCGTCTCACAAAAGAAGAAAAAAAGGAAATGGAATCACTGGGCATAAAGGTGTAGACAGTTTTAATAAGTAATACCACACTGCTCTTCAGAGAGGTTGTACAGTTTACACTCTCAGCAATATGTAGTTGTGTTTGTCTCTCCACTTTCTTGTCAAACTTGAGGGATACCTTTTTTATCTACACTAATTTGTGTGTGGGTTTTTTTGTTTGCGAGATGGACTCTCACTCTGTTGTCTAGGCTGGAATGCAGTGGCACAATCTTGGCTCATTGCAACCTCCACCTCCCGGGTTCAAGCGATTCTCGTGCCTCAGACTCCCAAGTAGCTGAGATTACAAGCACCCACCACCACGCCCGGCTAACTTTTTGTATTTTTAGTAGAAACAGGGTTTCACCATGTTGGCCAGGCTGGTCTCGAACCCCTGACCTCAAGTAATCTGCCCGCCTCAGCCTCTGTCTACACTAATTTGATAAGCCAAATTGGTTATAATATTCTTTAAGTAAAACATGTAAAAGAAGCCTGTGACTACACCTGCCAGTAGTTTAGCACCATGACCTCAAGTCCAGTATAGTCAGCTTTGCCTGTCCTACAGGGACAGGCAGTTTCAAAGATAGAAGCCTCATTGAGGCTGGTCTCCAGACAACAGATTTGCAGTTTCAGAGATGTGAACTAAAATATCTTGCCAATATACTATAGAAACAGAATTTAAAAAGATAAATTTATAAGAATTTATAGATTTGTAAAGTGAACTGGTACAGGAGAGAGTGTTAAAGTAGTTAGACCTTTCATTTGGAATATTAACGATTTGAATGTTTTATGCATTCCTCACCTTAATTGTGTAGCTGTGAAAATCTTATTTAAGGCTGGGTGCGGTGACTCACACCTGTAATCACAGCACTTTGGGAGACCGAGGTGGGCAGATCATTTGAGGTCAGGAGTTCGAGACCAGCCTGGCCAACGTGGTGAAACCCCGTTTCTACTAAAAATACAAAAATCAGCCAGGCATGGTGGTGCACACCTATAATACCCACTACTCAGGAGGCAGAGGCAGGAGAATTGCTTGAACCCAAGAGGCAGAGGTTGCAGTGAGCCGAGATTGAGCCATTGCACTCCGACTTTGGCAACAGAGTGAGACTGTGTCTCCAAAAAAAAAAAAGAAAAAAGAAAAAGGAAAAAGAAAATCTTATTAAAGGATAAAAATCCCATTTTGTCATTAATTTCTTGTTCTGCTCCTTAAAATAATGCTACTTGAAGAATATAGAAAACAATTTTAAATGATATATTTAAAGAAAAACCAACTTTTTAATTAAATAGTAAGCAATACATGTTGTCAAAATACAGTGGCAATGGGAACAGAATAGATGTGAAGCAATGAGCGAGCCACCAATTACTAAAATGTGGTCCTGAGTAAACAAGAGCTTAAAGGAGAGATGAGAAGTGCCTGTGAAATTGGAAAAGGTCGGCGTGAGACTGTGTGCCAAATAGACCTAAGTCTGGACCGGCTAAGGGATGAGCTTTGGAAATACCCAGTTTCACAGTAAATACTCAGGCATGTATTGAGGTTGTTTTCCTTTGCGGGCAAACCCAATGTCAGAGTTTCCAGGACAGTTGGACAAGGTAGAGCTCAAGGTATAAAAACTCCCTTGAGGTGTTCAGTTTATGAAACTATATCAAGCTGAACACATGAAATTTGCCTTTTTCTATGTGTATATTATACTGCAGGAGACATTTTTAAAAACATCCTGGTAGTTTGCCCAGAGATTATCTCATATCTGATGCAACCATTAACTCTCCAAACTGGTATCAGCCACAGTGCCACCGGCTTGTAGAGGACGCTGGGGATGTGGAAAGCTGCAACTCTGCCTGGGAGCGTGATGTGTTATCTTCTGCATGATAAAATGTTCTACAGATTTCCTTTTCCTTTGCCATTATGTAAACTTTACACCTTCAAACTGGCCATCTTTTCATTAAACCACTCAGAGTCCCTGTGTGCCAACCAAGTAGTAAGAATTAGCAGAGTTCTTGAGAAACACCTGGAACTCCATACAGAAAAAAGAAAGATCCAGGGGCTGCCTAACAACAAAACAGGGTTGGGATGAGATGGTGTAGATTGGGCACAGTGAGAACTGCCTGACAGCAGAAAATGTGCGTATGGCTGGAAGTCAGAATACCAGGAAGCAATGTAATGACATGTATGAAACTTGGTATTTGGTACCTACTAAAAATTTTTTTGCAATTCTCACTGTGCCCTTTTCTCCATTTATGGTACAAGAAATATTTTTTGCTTATGAAATTTTTCTTTTGTTTTGTTGGTTTTCGTTTTTGTTTTGTTTTCCAACTCCTGGGCTCAAGCGATCCTCGCACTTCGGCCTCCTGAGTAGCTGAGACTACGGGCAAGCAGCACAAACCCCAGGTCATGTTTTGATTTTTATTTGTAGAGAGACAGGGTCTCACTATGTTGCTGAGGCTGCTCTCAACTCCTGGGCCCAGGCAATCCTCCCACCTTGGCCCCCCCAAAGTGCTGGGACTACAGGCATGAGCCACTCCATGCCCAGCTTTTGTTTATGAAATTTTAAATTGCAATTTTAATTTTTTCATTTTCTTATTCTGTCCCATTTTCTCAAATTCTTTATTTTCAGATACTATTATTCATGTTCTTCAAGATCAAGATGTTAATGCATTTTTGAAAAAAATATACTTTTGTTTCCAGATTTATGATTTTTATTACATAAGGTAAAAATATTGCAGATACGGAAAAATTAAATTCATTCAGCAATAGTTCAATTTCCAGAATTACAGATTCTGTTTCCTGTTTACTGCTCGCTGTAGTCTGGAATATAGTATTTTGATGCTGCCAGTCTTTGGCACCTTGTAACATTCTGCCAATTAATTGACCAAATAATGTTAAGTCTCCATTTTAACTTGATTATCTGGAATTAATATTTCTCCATATTTTCACTAATGACTTTCAAACTAGTTGACTGATTTTTGCCTAAAGAAAATCAAGATACTCCTTTAGTTTTACTTTTTGTTTGTAACTTGAAAAGGGAAGGATGATTGTCACATTTTAAAGAATGTAATAAA